ATCTCTTGTCAAAGATATATGGATTTTATTTCGATTATTAAATTTTCTTCTTTAAAGAGTAATTGTTGCAATCGTACATAAAGCTTTGTATATACCGCGTACATAAACCGTCTTTATGGACTCGCCATCTTTATTTCTCAGTGTAACCAAATTTGCGCTGTTTGTGGTAAAAATACAGCAAAAAAACGCGTAAAATGCGTAAAGTGCCTCAGTTATTATCATGACAGTTGCGCGAAAACAAAGTTAAAGTTTGTGAATCCAATTGATAGTGACACCATCATATGTTGTGATAACGCGTGCGATCCAAGTACGGAATTAGACAAGGACATTTTCGACAGTGACAGCAATCCCAATGAAACGGACTATCTTAAAGCTATCATTCGGGATAAGAACAAATTAATAACACTCTTGTATGACAAAATAAAACTATTGGAAGATATGGCTTCGGTTAAAAAGCATACACATGATGCTACTGTTGTTCCAATGAAAAACAATTCGCCGACAAATGGAGCACAAGCCTCAGTTTCGGAGTTTACTAATACTCGTAATCCAAAACTACCCACCTCAATGCAGGATAAGCAGAAACCAATCAGACCTAATCAATCTGAACGGGCTCATCATGCTGGTCCAACTACGTCATGCACGGCACTAGGTGCTACTAATGCAACTTATGCTGATAAAGCTCGGGAATTAACTATGCAACGTGAGAATACAGACGAAGCGGAGAACGCTAATGCCCCCAAGAATCAATTGACCGCGACTTCACAAATAAGGTCGGTAAAAAATAAGTCACAGAAAAATACCATCCGTGGCTCAAAAACTTTAACGAACAGTGCAATACAGGCAGTGACTAGAAAGGGCTACTTACATGTAAGCAGGCTACATCCCGACACCTCCGAGTCCTCGCTAGCTGAGTATCTTAAGGAGACGCTACCGGGATCCCCAAGCGTGACGGTCGACTCCATTAGGAAATCTGAATTTTCTGCTGCCTTTAGAGTTACCTACCCATTCAGGATCTATGATGACATCATAAAACCTGAAGTGTGGCCAGAAGACGTACTTGTGAGAAGATATTACTTCAACAAAAGTTCCGAAAAGACGGTTTTTCAACCTGTGCAGCCATCATCAGCAAACACTTAAAAATTGTGCACCTAAATACACAAAGTGCGCGCAATAAATTAGCATTGTTGAACACTTTTGTTAACTTAATTGACTGCGACATTCTGTGTATCTGCGAACATTGGTTGACGTCTGAAGAGATTCGGTCCTTCAGCATAAACGGTTTCTCACTGATCTCTTATCACTGTCGTACAATCGCAGACAACATCAACAAAGGAGGTGGCACCGCAATCTATGCGAGATCGCATTTAGATCTTAGTGCATCCACATTCAATACAAAACCTATTGATAGTATTTTTGAATATTGTTCTTCGACACTGATTCTATGCAGTATCTCTTACACCATAGTCTCCTTATACAGATCGCCCTCCGCAGACATAAACACCTTTTTTATGCTGCTGGACGAGTGGCTAGGCGCCGCTATAAAAAAATGTTCTCGAATAATTATCTGCACCGACCAAAACATAAATCTATTCGACGGCCACACCAATTCGACTACCTTTTTGGATATCCTAGCATCGTTTAATCTTCTTCCCTCAATTAACGTCGCGACAAGGATAACAAATGTAAGCGCTACGTCGATCGATAATATCTACTGCAACACTCAGTATCGATCAGCCAAGGTTATCGAAAGTGGATTTTCCGATCACTTGGCTATTGAACTCTTGTTACCTTACACCACTGCCCAGGATAAAACTAATTATACTAACACTCGTCTGTTTACTTCCAAAAATATCTCGAGGTTCCACAACTGTGTAGCTAACGAATCTTGGAGGAATGTCTTCGATGCTAATTGTGTGAATGCAAAATTCAACAATTTCACAGAAGGGTTCACTAATTACTTCAATGCGGCTTTTCCTATGACCAAACTTAAAGTAACTGCGAAAAACAACAAAAAATGGATAACGACGGAAATCATAGCTACAAGTAAACGACTGAAAGATATGCATCGTAACTGGAAGCTAACCGGTGACCAAAATGTGCTGCGTACCTATAAGGGCTTAAAAACATCGTACGTAAGACTAATCAATCTTACCAAACGAGAGTATAACGACAACCTTATCAGGAAGTCCAACAATATTAATAAAGCAGTATGGAATCTAATCAATGGTTTATCAGGCGGACAAGGACGACGAAAAGAAAAGTCGGATATTACCATAATTCATGACGGACGGTACGTGCGTGACCTCCTCACCACCAGTAAAATCTTCAACGACCATTTTATTGAAAGCGCAGCTCTTATCGCGGATGAATTCTCAAGAATAACTAATGCGAAGTATGTGGATCTGCCCAGGTTGTCCAGCGAGTCATTCTTTCTCAATCCCGTCACAGAAGCTGAACTCTTCAATACAATAACACAGTTGTCGAAGAAAAAATCAGCAGGTGCAGATGGCATTCCGTGCCACATCCTGTACAACATCGCCGGCTATATCGTTAAACCTCTTTCCCACATGATCAATGACGCGTTCAGCTCTGGGTATTTTCCAGATACCCTTAAGATAGCGCGAGTCGTGCCTGTTTTCAAAAAAGGAAATGTGCATGACATCACGAACTACAGACCCATCTCCTTAGTATCTGTTTTCTCAAAATTATTTGAGAAATGCATAGCTAACCGGTTAATCAACTATCTAACTAAATACAAGCTACTGTTCAGAACGCAACACGGTTTTATAAAAGGAAAATCAACAGTCACAGCCTTATTCGATTCCATTACCCGCATCTATGAAGCACTGGACAATAAACAACACGTCATAGGAATCTACTTTGACCTTTCTAAAGCCTTCGACATCGTCAACCACAATATATTATTGAAGAAATTGGAGTCATATGGTATCACAGGCATTCCGCTCAAATTACTGAGCTCCTTTCTAACGGGGAGGTCTCAGTTTGTTGAACTATCCGGTAAATTTGGCAACGTAACGAATCATAAATTCAAATCCTCTGAACTGGACTACAAAATTGGAACGCCCCAGGGATGCACCTTAGCTCCACAACTCTTCGCGATTTTTGTCAACGACCTGGATAGGAAGTTTAACGACCCGAGCATTTCTCTTTGCAAGTATGCAGACGACACCTCCTTAGTGATATCGGATCCTAATTTAGACACCCTAGCACAAAAGGCCTGTGATGCTATAACATGCATAAGAGAGTGGTGCGATTCTAACCAGCTAAAATTAAACGAAACCAAAACTGGCGTAGTAAGCTTCTGCAATAGCCGAAATAACCAAGCGGGACGTCCTAACATTATCATGAATGGGAAACTGTTGCGCATTACCAGTGGTGAACGCTTCCTTGGAGTAACTGTAAGTGACAATCTAAATTGGAGCTCTCACATCGATCAAATCTGCTCGAAACTAAGAAGTGCATGCTACGCAATTATATGTTTGAGGCCCGTGGTAGGGCAGTCTGCTCTACTGAAGTACTACTATGCCCAGGTCCAAAGTCAACTACACTACGCCATTATTATATGGGGCAACTCCAATGCAACTGTCAGACTGCTGTTACTGCAAAAACGGATCGTACGTCATATGTGTAACTCTGGCATGCGTGACCACTGCAAACCTCTTTTTAAACGCTTGCAAATAATGACTGTGTACTCCCTATATATCTATAACTGTGTGCAATTCGTTTTCGACAACTCATATCAGTTTACAACGAACGAAGAGATCCGCAGCTGTGACAGGAAGACTCGTTTCGGTTCTAAGCTCACCGTCCCTCGACATAATACCACCCTGTTCGAGAACTCTCCAAAATACATGTGCATTAAACTTTTCAACAGCCTCCCTATTGATCTCCTGAAATGCAATCAGGCCTCCTTTATGTCTAAGGTTAAAATGTTCTTTCTTGATAATCCGTTCTATAGTGTCAACGAATACCTCTGCAAAACCTAATTATGTCTTTCTGTGTGTTATATGTAAATGCGTGTTACTGTTAGTCTGGTTGTAGTCAATTCTGTAGTTTGTATGTATTTTTCAAGTGGCGTAAAATTTAAAATGACGTTTCCAATATTACCTGTACACTGTAATCAAAATGGAAAAAATAAATAAATATGAAATATGAAATATTTACGCCTCGCTCGTAAACTCCCTCGGCTAAATAAACGCCTCGTCCATAAAGACCCAGTTTATGTACTTGGTATATAAATAGCTATTATGGGGACTGGCCTTGTTTATTTGTGCCTCGCTCGAAAGCTCGCTCGGCAAAATAAACGGCTCGCCCATAAAGATCCAGTTTATGTACTTGATATATAAACAGCTATTAAAGTGCATTATCAGATAAAATGCGAAATTATTGCTTTTATTTAAATTGATGTCATTGTAGGATGATAATGTTTGCAGATGTTTCCTTGATGTTCATTTTTATTATTGTTAGAAATTATTTGGTTTAAGGCCTTGTCTTCTGTATGAAAGTTGGTCTGGATAAGACAACAATTGATAACATTTTGTTTATGTGATAAGACAAAATAAGGAAAAAGAGTGGGTTTACGGAAAATATGCGCGCTTTAAAAAAAGAAAAGTGAAAGTGGGTTCGCGATCACGTTTCTTTATAAAAGGCAGTGTCTGGAAGAAGAAGAAAATCCTTTCAACGATTTACCGCTATAAACGATATTGTAAATCTTCTTCAACGAGATTTCAAAAAATCATTTTTAAATTTTTGATAATTTTACTTGAACAGACGGGCAGGAGGGAGGGGTAGACGCGGCGCAGATGAAAGGAAAGGTGCAATCTGTTAGTTCTAGTCTTATTTCACGAATTTGTCCCATTTTATTGTGTGAAAGAAAGTCAAGCAGGATTTTTGGAAGGAAAGTGTTAAGACATCTGGCCCAACTAGCACCTAATCACGTTAAAGAAGCTCTCCTGCAGTTTAATATATACCCAAAGTTATTTCGATCATTATTTATTTTTGGTTGCATGCATGATATACATTGAATTTTTGCTATCACTCCATTGAACGCAACGTGAGAGAGGCCTGTACTTAATTCCTTTGCAATCTCCTACGTCACAACCATCTACGAAGCACTATTAGTACCGTATGAAATAACGAATCGCATACTCACATTTGTTCGCCATTTGTCGAACATCCTCGTAATTTATACATTTATTCCAATCTATAGTGTTGGGAGGTAGGATCTGGAAGATGCACTCAACTAAAAAGATATATCGGAACCAAGATTCCCAACTTTTTGCAAATGAACTCAAAAATATGACGCCTCCTGGTTTTAACGTTTTGATACAGTCACGGATGAGACTTTCGTGGTTCTTGGCGTGGTGCAAAACGAAGTTCAGAATTACAACGTCGTATTTCTCGACGTTGTCCAAACAGTGGCTCTCGATACTTTCCCATTTGTATTTGATGTTACGTAGACATCGGTCGAGTTTCGCGTGTTCCTCGGCTATTTCGATGGCGTCCTTATTTATGTCTATGCCTAAAATGTCAGCACCAGCTCTCGCCAGTGGTTCAGTTATAAGCCCTCCTAAAAACGTAGTGGGCAGTATGACGCTTATGCTGTTAGTTTAGGAACTCTCACCTCCGCAACCAACATCTAAAATACGTAAACCCTCAGAGACACGGAAGCCCTCTTCGCCTTTGGCAAAACCTTTTTGTCGTAAAACACCTTTCATGTAGGACAGAGCCAGGTAGTTTTCTTGGATTAGGAGCCGCAGCCAGGAATTAGGGTCCCACCAGGTTAATTTATAATCTGTGAAGAAGGCATTATGCCCCACATCCGCAGTTGTGACATTCAGAACTAAAACAACAGACCTTAGGTTGAACAAATTAGCTCATATTACGGGCATTACTCCTCGCCATTGTCACAAACGCAACTGATATCTTCTCAATCTTGAGTACCTTTGTACTCTACTGATAAGATATACGCTATATTCGGTCTCTATCTTTGCCACTTGTATGATATCTTCTCTGGCCGCAGACCTCGAGGGCCTCTCGCTAAAACAATAATTTACTGCCGCCGCTTACACATAAAGATAGCATCTGCAATCGATCGGAAATTAGTTATCCAGGAGACGCTTTGGGTATCGACGCCAACCAATTCCCGAGAACATCAAGGGCAGCACTTTATCGTGGTATGGGGGTTTTTCTCCAGGCCGAACAATGGATCAGCACGAGAAAGTAGTTTGGCAAAATGGCCTAAATGTTTTTCAAATATCGCATAGCCTGTATATATTTTATTTTTGAATACATTGTTGCTTCTAACTTTGAAGGTGGTTGTTAGCTCCTTTTTACAAAAACTAAAAAAATGCGCTATTGTCGTCACTTTTCTCGTCAGTCTGTCCCTATGCCTGTGACCCGCACATTACATTTTAGAGGTGTCTATGTAGAAGGTCTTAGGTTGTACTATACTACTCCGGTATTGACCTTACGAATTAGGAAAACTGCAGGAAAACCTAATTCGAAGTAGCTGGGAGAATGCTCCAAACTGATCTAAGAAAATTCCAATCTCTGCCACAGACGGAAAGTTCACCTCAACCCAGGCTCGAACATCCGACCTCCCGTCTATGTAGTCCAACGCTCTACTACTGAGATACATAGTCGGTTTTGATGAGGTGATGCTGAAGGTTGAGTTGCGACTGCCCGGACTGTGAGATCAGTCTCCCCAAAAAACCTTTTCGCAACGAGGCATTACCAGTATACACGTCCCTGCGGCCGTATTCAGGTGTGCTAGCACTCTCGAAATCAGGCAAGGTGAAGGAAATGTCCGCGCCAGGGAGAAATTCCAAAAACCCTTCTGATGGATCTGTTTCCCAGTGGTGCTTCCCAGCCAACGTCTGATGTATCTGGGGTTAGAACTTGGGGAATATGCGAGCTGTCATTTGTACGTGCTCCAGCCATCACCAAACATCGCTCAGAGCGCACGAAGGAATGGGGGAACGTCGCTTCGTAGAGTGGATTTCGTGTTACACACTTTCTCTAGGTATTCAACGAGTATTTCCGGAGACAGGTCCAGAACCGACCAATTTAAAACTCGAGCGAAAGCGAGTGGAGATGTGGCCAGACCGCAGGGTGGGCAAATCACCTGATAAACCGTACCCCTGTGAGCCAAAGAGGGGAATTCTCAGTGGAAGAGCAAGACCGGGATATGAAAGTAGGTCTGTGACAAGTCACGGAAAATCAACACTTTCAAGTGATTTAGAATACGGAACTTCTTCGCTCTTAAATACTTGTCCAAGCCAAGATTTGGCGCGTGCCCCCATCTGGTTTTGGCACTAAAAACGTTTTGGACAGAAATCCGGTTGTGTGCCTTGCCACTTCCAAGATTCCTTGAGCAATTAAAAGTCGGATAGTCGGGTCCGTCCCGGGAGTTTCAAAGTCGACGTGCCGGGTTTATAGGGGGATTTAAAGGTAGACGAGCAATAAACGGGATTTTGTAGCCCTTGACAGAAGTCTTAATGCTGGCAGGGGCTCCTGCTTCTTCCCATTCGCGAGCGAACTGAGCTAACCGCCCAGCTCTGAACTGACGCGAGTCAGGAACGACTAGGCCTCCTTGAGGAGGACCTCCTTTTCTTAGCAAACTTAGCCTCCTTAGCTTGCTGGCGCTTGCCCTGATGTCTAGATAGCGGTTCATCTTCTAAAAAGTGGGTAGTGGAGGGGGGAGGGATGTTGAACAATAGCTATGCCACTCCGGAGTCCAAAGGTTTAAACAGTTTACGATGAAGATCGATAGCCTCCGCTCGCCGGACAACTATATTGGAGTAAATCGTCCGATGTAGATCTAAAGTCGGAGGAGAATGTCTCGACTCGATCACCAGATGTTTACAAATCAGCTGTCGGATGGCCTCATAAAAGGGGTCGCGTTGTTTCAGGAGACCATGAAGAAGGGTTCCAAGGGTCGTGTCCATGCGAACCTTGTGTTCATGAACAACAATGGAGATCGGTCAAGAGGATAAACCAGTATTTACTTGTAAAGCGCTGAATACTGGTGCCGCTTGCAACCGTTTTTGCACTTCGGCATAATGAATCCGCGAGAAGGACAGCTTCTCCAGTTTTAGGCAATCGATTCCTTGTTGCTCGATGTGTGGTTTTACTGGAGGTATAGTCGATTGCTGCTCCGTCGTGACTGGTTTGAAACTCGGGAACCAGTTCCGCCGTGTAACAGTATCCCTGTACAGGCTAGTTTTAAAGTTCATGGTAGTTAAAATGTTAAGTCTAAATATAATCATCACTCCCAAGTACGAATGTGACTGAATGAGAGTAATGCATCAAAAGGAATTTATTTATTTCAGTTCATTGTATCCCAATTTGGAATTTAAATAATATGGCCGCCATGAATCAGGAAGAAAATTAGATTTAAGTAATGATCGCGGTGTAAATAGAGTTTCGTTCATACTATGTAAATAAAGTCAATTAGGGAAAAACTGCATATGAGTATCGAGTATTAACGCTACATCTGTGCCGTTCCCGCCCGTAAATCTGAAGCGCGTATTCTTGTAATAAGCGAATTGAGGCGAAATTTTAAGAAAATAAAAATAAAGAACCGAACGACACCATCTCCATCGAGCCACCGTATCTAAGCCGAAGACGATCCTCACGGCACTCCGGAGAAAATTAAGAAGATTGCGAAATAACCGAAGGAGATTCCCACTTTCTATTTTGCGCGCGGTCCGTGTGCTTTGAGGGTACCCAAGGAGTCGGCACGGAAACCTGCCTATGACTGGCCGAACCAAACTCGAATAGCAGCCTGCAGTGGGCGATCCTAAATTCATTCGACTTCAACATCAATCGGAGAGAGACCAAGATTGCGCCCCGACTCCTGGTGCACATAAACAATAGACCTTAAAGGTATTTATAAACAACCATCGCGTCGTAGTTTACCGTTTTTCGTAGTTCACCCTGTTGTAGATTACTGTGTTGTAGTTTATCATAGGACAGTAGTATAAATCTGTATTATTGTAAAGGCGATTTAATTCCCTACTAATGTTTTGCGTTCAAATAAGTGCTTGTGAGCACTGTTTGCTTTCATGTTAACGACTCGAACCTGGAAGCGTTACGACACGCGCTTACAGCAGTTTGTTTTGATTTACGATTTAGTTATATATTAATTTCTGAAACAAAGATTAAGTTTCTTTCTGTACTGGGCGGTCCTAGGGTAAATATTTTGATTTCAGTTGACGTAATAAAGATAAATTTTCCTTTTTATGCAGTGAAGTTTTGTGAATGAATGAGTTAACCCTGCCCTTACAGGAATGTGCCTCCTCAATCCCCATTTCTTTTAACATGTGTTACTTACAGATAAAAGGCGAATTTCTGAGAAAATAAGAACGTAATAGGTTTTAATAAAGATTATTGATTTTTATTCATTTATCCTTTCGCATTTCCTCGAGGCCAGAAAAGGACCATCGACTGAATGCTAGCCAGAGCCCAACAACAATTATTTTATGTAAGAAGAACAATCCAGAAATAAAGTAGCTTGATGAAGAAAAGGTAGGAAGAGTTGAAAAGTAACCAGCCGGTTACAGCCGACAGAATGACCACTCGAGCAGTCTGACTTTTTGTTCACGATATACCTTCTCCAGAAGACATAACATATTCCCGAACGGTTTTAGAATTATGTCCAGGTGCGCCATCCTGCTGTATCCAACAGTTGCGAACTATCGCCAGGGGCTCTTTATCAAAAGACCCTCGAAATCGTTTTGCAGTAAATGTAAGCAGCGCTCTCTGTTAAAGTATGGCGGTAAATAGATGATCCTACAATCCTTGTACAGAAAATACCAGTCCACACATCAAAACCACACCTTCAACTTCTGGTTAAACGTGGATTGGTTCCAGATCAATTAATAGTGGACATTTTGGCTATTCATGATGCCATTCTTAGCGCATTTTCTAACTGTTGAAAGGCTGTTAACCATAGATGCTTCTAGTAAAGAAAAACATCCATAGCATGGAAAATGCTCTAAAGTTACTCGCCTTAAGGCAAAAACCTTTTTTATTTTTCATAATAATACTCTTATTAGACCATATTATTTGATAAGGAGAATTCGTATTCGTTTTCGTATTATTTTTCCGAGTTTGCGTAATTATTTTGTTTACCCAAAGTCGTCATGAAACCTTCATTTTCATGCCTACTTTATTTCAGGAAAATGTTAGTTTCTATGACAGAGGCAGACCAGTCTACTTTTTCTGTCGCCTGTCACTTTACCAGCCGCATCTGTCACTTTACCGGCCACACTTGTCACTTTTCCTGCTGCACCTGTCACATTGCTAAATGTCTACAATGACTCCTGTCATCATTGACAGATTGGCATTAATTAAAAGTTTCTATATGAAAATCGAAATTTTATGTTAAAATACGATTTCGAGTAAAGTAATAGAAAACTGGTCAGTAAAATGAAAGCAAACTCCTCGCCAGTAATGTGTCATTTTCCTGACTTTTATGTAAATAACTATTACCAGAACAACGGATTACGCTATGGTTTCTGTATATTTGTTTATGTACGACTGCTTGCTAATGCGGTGATTACAGTCGCAATTAGTGGCCCTAATTTGCCATATTATCGCCTAGTCCATAATGATAAAGTAAAATGGTCGCCTGTCAATGTGACAGTCGTACTTAGGTGTCAATCCAAGGTAAATTCAAGTATTTTAGAAATACTTGACAAATGATTTGATCGTTTATTGAATTCCATGAAATGTTCATTTTTAAGGGTTGTTGCATTCGTACATAAAGCTTTGTATATATCGCGTCCATAAATAGGCTTTATGTCCGATTGTATAATAATCAATACTTTATGATATCTTTTTGCGGTCATAAAGTGGCTCTTTATGGACGGCGGCCATAAACAAATGTCACGTGGTCGGTTGTCAAAATAATTTATTTATACATAACAAAATAAATATAAATGCGAAACACCTGAAGAAACACCTACTTCGGGGAGTGCTTATTCGAGTAGTAATTGTTAATT